GCGCCCTTCTTCTTTCCCTACAGTGTACACACTTTCTTTTTGTGCATTTGTAGGGCTGCATCGTTAATAAAAATTACTCATATGCTATTATTTAAATTGCATTTCTCTTGCTTTAGGTATGAAAACAAGTATGTCAAGTTTTTTAAGAGTAAACCAGATCTGCCCCCTGGTTTGAACCCAACTGATGCAGCACAACCAACACAACAGCAGCAGCAGAAGATCCCCGGGTGTGGGGACAGTGACACAGCTGGTCTCTCAAAGTCTGCCAAACGCAACATGAAACGTAAGGAAAAACGAAAACAGCAGCAGCAGCAGGGCCAGGATGGAGATGCGGACGTGGAGTCGGTGAGCAACGCTGTCGAGAATGTGTCCATTTCAGAGAGCGACAAGTCTGCAAACAAGACGGCGGCGCCTGTTTCTGCGGCTTCTTCCATTGACTCTTCAGCAGCGGCGGCTGAAAAGGCTAAGAAGATCAAAAACGTAAAAAAGAAGCTGCGACAGGTTGAGGAGTTGCAGCAGAAAGTGGACTCAGGGGAAATAAAACAGCCAACAAAGGATCAGTTGGAGAAGCTGGGTCGGGCAAAGGCCTTACAAGAGGAATTAGAGCAGCTGGAGCAGGATTCCTGAAGCAATAAAAGACAGCAGAAGAGTTGGATGAACTCAGCGTACAAACTACACACAAGAAGGGACCCTTGCAGCTTTTGTGATCATAGATTCCATTAAACATATTGTACCTATTTGATATTTGTTATGAACTTGGGAAGTGAACACAGCCCCAGCACCGTCTGCATAGCAGGTGTCGCATCTTAACCACGGACAAGGTTGTTTTATAGATTCTGATAAATAACATTGTGATTCCTCATATACTTGTACAGGAGAGGTTCTTCATCCATAAATATGTTTTAACGGATAATTGTGAATTGTTTTGTGCGTGTCTGTCCTCTCCGTTTTGTACTTTTCATCACATCACGAGGACTCATTTACAGAAAAAAATAAACATGGAAAAAATAATTTTTTTGTCAAAGAAAATCTGGTTTGTTAACCTTTGTTTTGGAAATTAACATTCTTGTCAATGGTTGGATGCCCTCTTGTAGTCTCACTAATGTTGAGTCTTCACAGTCACTACTTTTATTAAAATACAAACTGTGTAAAGTGCTTTTGTGTTTTTAAAGTGGAATATGTTTCAAAAAGCATTTACTTGCTCAGAAAATAAGACTAGGGGTGATGATCTATATTTTTGTTTTTATCTATAAATTACATTTAGAAGTCGGCCATCTTGATACAACTTTTGTTTTTTCAATAGGAAGAGGGCCATGTGACACATCAAACTTATTGGTAATGTCACAAGAAAAACAATGGTACTCATGGTTTCAACGTAACTTTATTTTTTCATGAGTTATTTACAAGTTTCTCTTTGTTCACAGCCATTGACATGTCGAAGAGATTAACACGTGAGGAGCGGATCGAAATTGTGTTGATATCTGGTGAACGCAGTAACCGGGTCATTGCAGCAGATTTCAATGCAAGACACCCTACGAGACCACCCATCCCCCATGCTACAGTTAGCAAACTGCTTGCTAAGTTTCGTGAAACTGGTTCAGTGTTGGATTTGCCAAAATGTGGAAGCAAGAAAACTGTCACTAATGAAGAAACATCAGTGGCTGTCCTAGCTTCATTCAGCAAGAGCCCACAGCGTAGCACTCACCGCATGTCACTGGAGAGTGGCATTAGTCGAACATCCCTTCTGTGGATATTAGCTACTCACAAATCGCAACCTTACAACTCCAGCTACTGCAGCATCTCAACGAGGATGACCCAGATCAGCCCCAGAATTTGCAGAATGGGCAAAACAAAAATTGGAATAGGACCCTCAGTTCAGGCAGTATATTCAGTGTTTTGCTAATTTGTTCAGAGATGAGGCAAACTTTTATGTGAATGGTGAAGTTGACAAACAAAACCACCGCTATCGGTCTGACACTAACCCACATTGGATGGATCCCTCCAAGACTGTTGGAACAACAAAAGTGATGGTTTGGTGTGGTATATGGGGTACAACGATAGTGGGTCCATTCTTCATCAATGGAAACCTCAAGGCCACTGGATATTGAGTTTTTCCAGCAAGATGGTGCACCACCACATTATGGGTGCCAGGTCCGAGCATTCCTAGATGAACAGTTTCCTGGAAAGTGGATTGGTCGTCGTGGGCCAGTTGAAGGTCTCCTGACCACCTTAGACTTTTATCTTTGGGGTCATCTGAAGGCAATTGTCTATGGTGTGAAGATACGAGATGTGCAGCACCTGAAACTACGGATACTGGATGCCTGTGTTGGCATTTCTCCTGCGGTGTTGTTATCAGTGTGTGAAGAGTGGGAGAAGAGGGTTGCATTGACAATCCAACACAATGGGCAGCACATTGAAGACATTTTATAAGTGGTCAGAAACTTGTAAATAACTCATGAAAAAATAAAGTTACGTTGAAACCAAGCACACCATTGTTTTTCTTGTGACATTACCAATAAGTTTGATGTGTCACATGGCCCTCTTCCTATTGAAAAAACAAAAATGTATCCAAAGAGCTCCATTGCTGTTCCAGCACTTTACAAACAGACTCATGAGCCATGTCTTTGACATGTTCCTCTACTCCTTGTATGCCTTTGTGCAGCTTTGCTACCATTACACTAAGTGCATAGATGATATGCCATAGTGAGCCTTGACGGGAGCAGCTGAAACAAATACACTGATTAATCCTTTTGAGTAACATTTGCTTTAATATGAAAAAAAAAAACCCATTAAAAAATACAGAGGGTAGGAAGCACATTGAGTGATCTAGAGAGCCACCAGGAACACCAGGACAGAGACACTTAATGCTGGACAGGCCAGACAAATTTGGACTACCCCTTTCATGCAAAGGGTTTGGCATAGGGTCAAAACTAACAAAAAAAAAGTGTGCTGTTGTAGAATTGTTGATAGCCTATACTTGAGGGATGAGTGGTCCTGATGAGGATGTTATATTAATGATTTTTCTGGCTCAAAATGGACCGCTGGGATGTAACATAAAGTAAGAATGAGTCATCCACATGTAGTCAAGGCAAAGGGGTCTGTATTAACTTAAGTCGATATATTCTTCTGTTATGTTTAGTCATTTGATAAAAATGTACCTTAAGCTTAAATAAATTAAACCCCACTTATAAAAACTTCAAAGTCATCGTTCTGACGATTGTCCAGTATTTGATATAAGCAGGAAAATCCCTATACAGGCTATCTTTATTATTAATATGTTTGAATGTCTATACTGGTAGCTGTTTTCCAGTCTGAAGCCTGGGCAGGCTCACAGGGATTACCTGTACAGTTGTGGCCAGATGTTCATATGACATGAATGCCATAGTAATTTGGGGCTTTTAAAGATTTCTTTAACCCGTTCTTTTTCCACGTTGGAATGATCATACAGCATACAATTGGGTGTGCAAGTTTGGATTTATTTTGGGTTTTCTTTAATCCACACAGGGTACACAAGTATACAACATACAGGCTCAGATATTTACATAAAACTTGCTCTAGTAATTGACTAAATGTCCCTTAGCAAGTTGCACCTCAACCAAATGCTTTTGGTAGCCATCAACAAACTTTGGTATAATTCTGGCTGATATTTGACTAATCTTATTGGCAGAGTTGACAGAGTTCTTTTAAATTGGTTGGCTGCCTGACACAGACTTGGCTTTTTTCAAAGTCCACAAATTTTCAGTAAGATTGAGATCAGGGCTTTGCGAAGGCCATTTCAGAAGCTTAATGTTAGCCTGCCTTATCCATTCCAAGTCATTGCGGCCAGATGGGTCCAGATGTGTGATTGGAGGTTTGAGCCTTGGTGGTTCCTGTGTTGTTCATGAATATCCTAATGAGTGTCCTCTCATCTGACGGTGACAGTTTGGATGTATACTTTTAAAAAAGGTGTATGCTGCACAATCATTCACCCTGGAAAAAGAGCAGTTCAAACAAATCAGTAAAAACCCCAAATTGCCCTGACATTCATGCCAATGATGCGTGTATGTAAGCTATTAACCACACAATAACACTGATCTCATTTTTTAAACTTTGTGTTTAATAGAGGCATCCACCATCTTGATGGTGCATACAAGAAAATCATGATAGATCCACTTTAATATGTTTGCTTTCCTCAATGCTTTAGTCAATCAATGACAAAGCTTATGCCTTAAAGAGCCAGAGAGGCTAGATAAAAATTCTCTTTCTTGGTGAGGAATCAGGGATGGTCTCACCAGGAGATGTAAATGTTTTAAACCCCAGGAGTTTTGCCGTCTCGGTTTTTATGAGCCTTTATTCCACAATGAAACAGCAGAGGAGGAGGCGTACTCTGTCTCAGACACGATTTGTAGCAATGGTTACACGGGGGTGTCATTGTTTTTGCTTGAATGGGCTCCTACTTTGAGAACAATATAATTAGCTGTTGTCTCATTGAGGATGTGTGGTTTGTTGTTGTTTTTTATACGGCAACCACAGGATAAAGAACGCTCAGATATTGTGGAATAAAGTGCAGATTTCACAAACATGAATCACATGTGAGCAACTCGGTAGCATTTCTGTTACATCTACCACAGACATCCGTTATAAAGTAATACAGCTTAATTAAAAATCAAGAAAGTGCTTGTCTTCCACCACAATGACATAACTAGTCGCAAGACGGCACCTTTATTAGGTAGTGGGCAGCTCATCCACGTTCTAAAAAAAGTTCATTCTTAATTTATTTGCTTCCTTTGACGTAAACAACATTACTCTGAAGTTATTCTTACACCCTTCAAGACAAATGGCTCTAAATGATGGTGTCAGAAGGCGTGATCAGGTGGTTAACATCTGAAATATGTGTTGGTGTTTTGCAGTCGACACATCACATTCCTTGTAAATATTTATTATGTGGTTTCGAGGCAGGTCCTGAACAGACACTTGACAGTATAAATACTAAGACACCAACTTTGACACAGTTATAGAAGAACGAACACAGAGAAGATGGATAAAATGATGTTTGGAAAAACACACAGCTTATTTATCAGTTGAAAAGATCAACTTGCCGCATTGGATTCAAAGTTGTTGTTTTTTCTATCTAGTAATGGAAAAAGACCCAAACTGGAAAATGGAATACAGACTGGAGTTAATGGTGCTTCTTGTTTTGTTGATAACAGCTTCATCTATCGCCCTGAGCAGAAAAGATACCACAGAAGCCATGGTAAGAAAATACAAAACAAGCTGGATCTGCTGGAATATAATCTAAAATATTAATGTAAAAATCACAGTCTCCGAGTCTAGAATTTGCATACAATTCGCTGAGAATTAAAATAGAAATACTTGGAGCATGCACTGCTGTCCAGTTTTAACCTTACTTCCACAGAGATCAGCAGAAACTGGATTTTTAATTGTCTTAAGCTCACCAATGTCACTGTAAGGCCAGATCTCTATATAATTGGCACAAATGGAAGTAATTCCTCAGCTGGTAATGGAGCATCTATATTCAGTCAACCTCACCTCACCCATGCTGAGATTATTTAGTTTCAGTGACCAAAAATAGTCAAGTAACATGTCAAAAAAGAAAGAACAATTGTTTTAATCTGTTTAGTAGAGATCAATAATTTAATATCCCTCACACTGTCTACCATTCTTTTAGGTTTACTTAAAGAAGTATGGCTACCTGCACATCCCACTGGACAGTAAAGTTCAAGATTATTCACATGAGCAAATGGCGGAAGCTTTAAGGTTAACCATCTTATCAGTTTACATTGTCCTCATTTACTATTTAGACTTCATTTCAATTGAAAGTTCAAACTTTTTTTTAATGTCAGAATGTTTCAGAAAGTGACCAACCTGCAGGTATCAGGAAAACTGGATTTAGTCACGCTGGCAATGATGAATAAACCTCGATGTGGCCTCGAGGATTCTTTCGATAACAAATCTCTCAAATATCGAGTCCTAGGTAGGTAACGGTATACATATTGGATTTTTAATGTGTAGTTTATGTGCATATAAAGGATTTTGAATTATAATTTCACAGGTTACTGGCGTAAGAAAATGCTGACGTACCGCATTTACAATTACACTCCTGATCTGGGTCAGGGAAAGACTCGCATGGCCATCCAGAATGCTTTTAAGTACTGGAGTGATGTGTCACCTTTAAGGTTCAGAGAGTTGGATCAAGGAAGAGCAGACATCAAAATCTCATTTCACAGAAAAGACAAGACGTGTCCAGTACCCTTTGATGGCCGAGGTAGGACCAGCATATGAACAAAGAAACTCCAAAGTTTTGTGATCTGAGTGACTTCTGGTATTTAATTAGAATCCTTGCTTCATCTTTAGGCCGTGTTTTAGCGCACGCTGATGCCCCCGAGTCTGGCATTGTGCACTTCGATGAGGATGAACTGTGGACAGAAGGGAAGAGTTCTGGCTCCAACCTGAGGATTGTAGCAGCTCATGAAATTGGCCACGCTCTAGGCCTGGGCCACTCACAGTACTACAATGCACTGATGGGACCTGTTTACAATGGATACCGCTCTGACTTCAAGCTTCATCCAGATGACATACAAGGGATCCAAGCTTTATATGGTATTGCCAAAATGTTATTACAGCACCATATGAATATATCTTTGAAGTACTATTTATGCAACCTGCAATGCTATCCCTTTTCAGGAAAGCCAGAGAAGATTCCTGAATCCAGAAATCCAGGACAGTCAAGGCCAGGAGGAGTTATTCCAAATCCATGCAAGGCCACTGTGGATGCAGTTATGTTGGGTACAGAGACTCTGATGCTCTAATACAAATTCCTTTATATATGCTTTGCTCTGTATTTTGTTTAACAAAACAGGAAGATGCTTCTAAAGATATTTTTTCTCCTACATTTTGCCCCTGCAGGTCCTTTGCGTAAGACATACTTTTTCAGTGGGCAGTATGTGTGGACAGTGTCCAACTCTGACTACAACACTCCCATCCAGATTTCCGCACTGTGGAAGGAGCTGCCAGGAAGTCTCAGTGCAGCTGTTCACTCTCCGCGAACTGGCAAATCCTACTTTCTGAAAGGTTTATTCAGTAGTTTTATCAGCAGCGTTCAGAATGTTTAATTCCAGCTGTGTATTCTGTTTGGTGTGTTTTCTGAATTCAAGTGTCTTTCCTCTGCAAACATCCTTTCACAGGAGACAAATTATGGAGATACACAGGCTTCAAACTTGACCAGGGCTTCCCCAAACGTTTGTCCAACATCCCTGCAAATATTGACTCTGCTTTTTACTTCAATAAGAACCAGAAGATAATCTTTTTCAAAGTAAGATGATTTTCAGTCTTTTTGTTGTTTTTGATATCTGAACTCAGTCAATAATTTGCTCTTTATTTCAGGGCTCTGGATACTGGCAATGGGATGAAATTGCTCCGACGGATTTCAAATCATACCCTAAACCAGTTGGACAACTCTTCAAAGGGATGCCCAGCAACACTGATGCTGCACTAACGTGGACTAATGGTTATGTATACATATTTAAAAGCACCGAGTATTGGCGTGTAAACCAAAACTACCAAGCAGTGGAGAAGACCTACCCTCTCAACACTGCCTTGCGCTGGATGCAGTGTGATGACTGAGCCACCAGAGGCCACTGGGGACTCAACATTAACCTTATCTGCACAATGACTTGGTTTAATAACAGTGAAACAAGCTCACAGTATGGGTATTGGTTATGTGGGTGTGTGCAATGATATTTGCTTCTCAGTCCTGTCATGTTGAGAAAAAAAGGAATACTAAAGCTTCCACTTACCTAATTAAACTAACAAATAGACTAGTAACTAGTTAAAATAGTTATCTTTAATTATACATACTTCTGCTTCTCTTCCACTTTAACATTAAATAAACAGACCAATCAACCAGGATAACAGAGGAGAGGACATTAATCACAGAACATGTGAGGAATACTTCCCTGTAGCCTTCCCCCTGGTTGCATTTTATTGGTGTATGTGTACATTATGTCAGTATATTATATGAGTTATATCAAATGTTGTTAGGGTGCCCTTTTTAACGTCTGGCCACAAATGCCAGATAAAGGAGTCTTGGTAAAATCTAAACGAATCAAATAAAACTAAAACAGATTTTTGTGAAGCTCACGCTGCTCTTAACAAAGCAGGAGTCTTAAGAAGTCAGAGCAGGTGGAAAACACCTGTGTAGTTGTGCATGCAGTGTCTTTGAAGGATAAGGTCACTTTACCTGATAAGAAAGTCAACTTCAGACACGTGAACAAGATCAGCAGGCGGTTTTCACCACATGGAGATCTTCCAAATACCTAACTTCTGTGTTCACTTTTATTTAGGCACCAGTTTATTATAATTAATTAAAATGAAACTAAAAACTACAACTCGATGTGAACAATTGAAATAACTGAAATAAAAATCAGACTTTGAATAGGCTGATCGAAAATGATATTGTGCATTCAGAAAACTAAGAATTAATTTTGCTGCCGTGTGGTTCTATTGGAAACATCAGAAGACTTTGTTCTATGTGTTTTTCCGTGACCGTAATTTTTCGATTACACTGTTGTGTTCTAATATCTATTCTGGACTTCTTAGCACTTGCCCTTAACAAATACCACCCACATAAAAAAAAAGACTGTATTAAAACTGGACATCGTCAGAGCATAAAAAGCTCAATTGTGAAATGTGCAAACCAGCGGAAACTAGCTGAAGCTACACTGAAATGAAAACTTTAATTCAAAATGAAATGAAAATTAGAAGGAACAAAAAAATTGAAACTGTGTTTACTCAGACAAAAGACAACGGCTCAAAAATGTGAAAAATGTAATTTCCACTTTCTTTTAAAATGTCTGTGGAGAAGTTTTTTGCTACGATAAACATCATTCTGTACAAAAATGTCCATAATATCATTATGCATGTACAAGGACAATAAAGGGCTATTCTATTCTATTCTAAATCCTTGCACGTAAAGTGCAAAGTTAACATAGCTGAACAGTAGCGACATTAACTGAAAAAACAAAGGGTGGGAAAAAAGTGGAATTAACATTTAAACAAGTGTGAACAAAGGGAAGGTTAACCTTAAGAACAAAACTGACATATTCATACATTATAATTAAAACAATGTTCCAGAAATCTTGGACCCATTTTCATAGTGTTCATACACTTCTTGTTTTCTTCTTTTCTGCTAATCTGAACCCCACAACCATAAAACTGTACAGAACAAAGTGCATTGACCAAGTGGCAACATCCAGAAGGGACTGCAAATCGAAGTCAACACTGCAGTTCCTCAAGTGACCACTTGAAGCTGGCTCCGTAAAGTGAGTCTGTACTCAGAGACTCCAGTGTTAAAAGGCCAAAGTTTAGCTATGGCATATTTACAGTCTAGTACAAAAATGGCTTTGTTCTCTATAATTAAATCCCTCATAATAATTACAGGTTTTTTGAACTGTTTAAACTTTCAAGGCTGCCAGCTGTCTATTATCAACTCTGAAAAACTTCTCAAATCTGTTTGTATCTTTTGGAGCATTTTTAATACATTTATATACCAAATCACATGACTCGCTTAGCACTAATTATAAGGTATCTGTGTCTGCATGATGCATCCATGCAGTTTACGGATCAAGCTAATGGTAATATTAGTAGATAACTCAGCCCGTTTGTCCAAATTTGGTCACTTCTGATTCCAAAACATCCAACGTGCTAAAGAAATGCTGAAGTAAAAGCTTTAAAACTGGATTTAACATTTAGACACAAGAGGTTGTTGTTTGTGAAAGGTCAGAGAATGTAAACATGAATGACATCTCGCTCTGTAATACTGGCCAGCTGCGTTCTTCTTTTATAGCAGTGACAAAATGATGTACAGAAAACAGCTGTACAATTACTCCAAGAAGGCGTGTGGATTTTTTTGTGACCTAGTCATGATTTTTTGGAGGAGATACAGTTTCTGAGTCAAATGTATTTGTGACCTACAAATAGGAGAATTTTGATCTAGCCTCTCCAGAACAGATATCTTCAAAGAAGGACAACACACTAGAGGAGTATAGATGGATTAATAACAGTACAGAGCAGAGGAAAAGCATGTTTTATTTAACCTCTTAAAAATAAGGATGTAACCTTCAAAGATGAAACAACACATCATCTGGTTTTCAAATTCAAACTTGAACTCATAAACAACTAAACACACTCTTCACAGTTTTAATACCATCAGTGTTTTCGATGCTGCTGACATTCTTATCTTTGGTATGATTGCATAAACATCACGTTGCTGATTTAATGACTCTTAACATAAGACAATACCCAAAACAGCTGACTGTGAAGCTGTCTGATCAACATTTTATTGGTCTACCGTTCAGAATTATATGTTTTATGTATATCCTTGGTTTCATTGCATGTGCTGGCACACATTTATCTTTTGTAGCTGTAATGATTACATTTCAGTGTAATCTAGATGTGTTACTGATCTATGTATGTACACAGTGACATAAGCAGAGTGTTTAAGATTGTAATGATATTGCATGAAACAAAAGAACTCATCTGAGAGTTCTGAGAGCTCAAAGGATTTAGTAGTCATGGGCCTGATGCTGTGTTGAGGTTGCATTAATTTGTCTTGTCATCATTCAGGGGATGATCTCCAAGTACCTCATATCAGTCTGAGCATGCTGATTGTTATCTGATGAAGCCAGTAATAAGGATTCAAACCACAAGTTGAAACTGTGGAAAGGTGTTTGTGATGGTCAAAAATTCAAATGATTAATTATTCCTCAGACATATGTAACCTATAGTTGCTTGAAGCCATGTTAATCAAACTGTGAAGACTGGAGAGGAAGTGGTCAGAGGCACCATGGAGCCTGTTTCAAAGTCAAAGTCAATTAGAGTGTGTGTGATAGTGCTGACGGTGCTTTTAGAGGAGCCGGTTCCCATCTGACGCTCCTGAAGGCTCTGAAGATAACTCTGCAAGGCAAACAAAAGGAGGATGCACTGTTGTTAAACTGGCCATTTACCATGGAGACAAATTATACACAGTGAGAACCTAGAACAACTCGTGCTCCACAAAGCTGCAGTGGGCCTTGTTTACCAGTTCATGTATGAAAAGTGTGCTAATACTAATGTATACTTGTGTCATGTCAATTTTATTTATCTAGCATATTTTGAAAGAGACAGAAGATAACCCAAAGTCATTTCCTGGCAAACGTATTTACATCCAAGGTCTCCAGCAACCCAATTTCAAAACCCAAAACTACCTAAAAACTTAAATTAAAATACGATAAATAAAACAGCAACAGAGCAACATAAACAATTGTATACTTAAAAAAAAAAGAATTCAAAAACAAGAATAAATGATAAATAAAATCCATCCATCCATTTCCACTGCTTATCCCTGGTTGGGTCGTGGGGGTAGCAGAGAAGCCCAGACCTCTCTTACCCTAACCACCTCCTGAAAGGAGGCCATCATCTGATGAAGCCAAAAGAACCACATCATCTTCAAAAAGCAGAGATGAGATCATTAAACCACCAAAGTGGGAGCCTTCTGTCACTTGCCTAGAAATTCTGTCCATAAAAAGAAGTGCCCACCACAGCATATCCCGAGGGATGAAGTCGATTGCCTTCACAAAACAAATGTAAACTGATTGGGCAAACTCCTACTCACTCTTGAATATTCTTGAGAGGACAAAGAGCTAATCAGGAATTCACAGCCAGGACTAAAACTGCATTGCCCCTCCTGGATCCAAGACACAACCTATGGGTGGACTATCCTCTCCAGCACCCTGGCAAAGACCTTTCTGGGGATGCTGAGAAGTGTGATCCCCCATGACGCTGGAGCATGCTCTCCAGTCCCCCTTCTTGAGGAGAGGAACTACCACCCAAGTTCGCCAATTCAGAGACACTGTCTCTACCTTCCAAAGGCATGTTGTGGGTGTCAGTCACACAACATCCAGTGCCTTAAGAAGGAGTGGTTTAACTATCATGGTGACCTCACCTTAGTGATGGCCAAGTTGCCCCCTCATCCATCCATGTCGATGGGATTGATGTGATCCTTGAGGTATTCCTTCCACTGCCTATGTGCTGAATTGAAGTTTGCAGCTCCCACCTGCACTATGCACCATTTGAGTATAATACTGCTTTCTCCTCTTGAGTTGCCTGACAATTTGCCAGAAGCACTTTGGCAGCCCTTGATTGCCATTCAACACACATTGTGTCTGACCCCTCCTCTGGGTGGTGACACCACAAGAGGGTAGCCCTATATTTGTTGCTTCAGGCTATGCAAATTGGGAAATTGCACTGTATATCAGGAAGTTGCAGTAGTAAAGGTGGGAGGCAATAAAGCAAAGGATAACTAAATCCTTTAGGTACATAGCTAACTTTAATATTTATTAATGACTTAGAGTTGGTAAAAATGCTCTTCACAACATTACTGACTTGATTCTTATAATTCAAGGAAATAGCAATAAAAACATAAAGATTTTTTTACATTTTTGACTTATGTAGATATGGATAAACAACCAAGTGCCTTGGCATCTGTTATTATTATTATCTGGAATGGATAAATAAAATATGAACCAAAAAGCACATCAACCATTTGAATCTCAGCCACTGACCGGTGCCAGGACATCCCCAGCATAGCGTTTCAGGGGTGGAGGCCTCCGTTGGCGGTGATGCTGAGGTCTTCTCCTTGACTCTTTATTTGCATGTTTTTTTGCATATTTCTTCTGTTTTTTATGTGCACCTGGATGCATTAAAAGGGGAGAACAAAAAAACATAAAACATGAATACACAACATCAAATAGGGAGGTTGTGAATACAGCCTTGAGTTAGAGATTGAATTAAACTTACTTCCATTGTGTGACATTCCTTTGCCAGTAAACCACCATTGCACCAGCACTCCGGTGAGACTCAAAACAGGACAGATTCCAGTGACAGCCCAGTCAAACCAGCAGAGTGGTCGTGGAGCAGCTTGAGAAAATATATCATACACTTGATCTGGCAATACAAATGCCCCCACCAGGTAATCTGCACACAGCATGACTGCAGTTGCTCCAAACACAGAAGTGAAGATTATGCTGAATAGTTTCTGCCACTGGAGTGTAAAGACAGCAGCGGCCATGCTGGCAGCTAGAACAACACTGAGAGGCACCCAAACTGGAGTAAGGCTGTGAAATTGTCCAATAACCACCAAGATGGAGAGGGAGAGAAGGCTTCCCAGAAGTAAGCCGCTGATGAGGAGTCCCACAGTTGTCATTAACATGGTCAACAGTCCACACAGCACAGCCACACCAAGGCCAATGCCCGCCTTGGTCTCTGCCTGCAGCTGGGTGCTCAGTGCAGGTTCTTTATGGTACAAGAGGAGCATGGCTGCCGAGCTTAACAGGAAGCCTGAGAAGAACATGACCATCTTGAAGCAGCGGTATCCTGGGAGAGGGTAATAAAAGAAGGTTAGAACTAGCTCCAGTGTTAGTTTTAATACTGATTAATAAGCAGGCAAAGCATAGGCATCACTGGATCAATTAAGGAATATTGGTTTGTATTTGTAGGTTTTAGGTTTAGCTTATGTGCTTAGATCACCTAATATTTTTGTCATGTTTCTTCAGGATTTTGCAGGATGTAATGGGTTAATGTAACTACATTTTATTTGTTAGTAATGCAATAATGTAAAGCACCACACTTCAGTCATTTATTATGTCCCCTTAACTGTTATATTAAAGTTACAATTATGTAATTGTAAAAAATTGCATTGCAAAGATTCTTTTGTTAACTGTGCCCAAAACACATCAAACAAACATGTTTTTATTCTTCATAAAATCAAATAAACTTTATTAGTCTCAGAGTTGGGAAAGTCACATTCTTACAGCTGCAGTGTGAACAGAAATAAAGTGACGCACTGTAACTTAGCAATAATAATAATATCATTTTAGTTTTATTGTAGTTTTGGTGGGATTTTTAAATGTGCTTTGTTTTAGATGTAGCAGTTGGAGACCCAGCATGTCTGTCTGTTTCCCAGCTCTCCTCCCTCCCATACCCACTCTTTTCTCTCTCTCTCTCCTTTTCTTTTTCTGTCTTTCATGTCCTTTCTGCTTCAGCATAATATCCACATAGATAATAGCATGAATAATAAAAAATAAAATAAATAAAACAATAAGATTAACAAAAGGAGCCTACATAGAGCCCATAGTGCTCCTCTTGGGAAAGCAGATGTGTTTGGCACAACAAAGCATTCAGACCATGATTCTGCTTGCTACAAGGACAGGACAGATGTTTAAGAAAAGAAAAACAAAAACAATAAAAGAATCCATAAAAAACAGATTAAAAATGTGTATTATCCAAGGTAGATGAAATATTAGGTCCACTATTTATTTATTTTTTTACCTTATATGAGCCACAACAATAAGAGTTGATTGGATGACTCTGCAGATGCTGATGGTTCACACACTAAAATACCTTTTCATTCACAAATTTGTTCCAGCATTCATCTCCAGCTCCAGGTGGGGAGACTACAGTGATTGCTCTCGTTCCTTTACAGTTTTGTGGCTAATACCACAGGTTACCTTTAGTTATAGTGAGAGACATGTTTACTAGTGTCTATGAATACAAAATATATTTATTTTGTGATATGGAAAGGAGTATGGTGAAGACAGTTATGGCAATGTTTTAGATTTCTGATGAATTGTTTTGGGTGGATGGTTGTGGATGATAGTAGACAAAGCTCATTGTTTGCAGTGTAATTCTGCTGTACATTTGCCCAATGCTTCACATGACTCATTTGTATTCTGGTGTCCTTTGAGTCTCTGTGGGCAGGCCACTTGCATGTGCATGGCAATCACTAACCACAGAGTTGCATAAGTGAATACAACTATGACAGCACTCTCTTTGTCTGCACCACTAAAACGGCTTTTTTAAAATTCCCCATTATTAATTATTGACAGTTATACATTTCCTCACAGTGCGTTAGTGTTACTGGAAAAACAGACTTTGGCAGCATGTGTGTTTGCGTAA